CTCTGCCATTCATTCAAACCAACCCCGTTCTCCAAAACAGGCAACACCTGAAACAAAAAGAGAAATCTGGGCAGGACATCCATTCCAACCACCGCAATTTGTCCCATGAGAGACAACCGCAACCTCTCCCAATTCCCCAAGTCCCTCTGCACACCGGCCCACAGCCTTCCACAATCACTCCCAAACAATTCCGCATCAGAAACAGACAAAGTGACCCCCAAATATTCCGTCCCACCAACAACCTCAAAACCAGTCAACTCAGCCAAAGTTTGCCCGTCCTGAATAGCCACATTTCTAGCCAATACTCCAGTCTTACCACTATTAACTTTAAAGCCCGAAACAAATCCACATTGACGAATCAGCTGCAATAAGTTAACTACAGAATAATTTGTCTAGCATTATTTTTCATGTACCTGCCAGTTATAAAACCCGATTGATCCTTATGTATAAGCTGATGGACAACCTTCATAAGCCTATTAGCTAAAATTTTTGCAAAAATCTTATAATCTACATTTAAAAGAGATATAGGTCTATAATTCCTTGGTAAAGTAAGATCTTGATCCTCTTTTGGAATCAAGGATATAAAAGCACTGCGCCATGATAGAGGGATCTCTGCACCCTGCAATATATTATTAAAAAGCTCAACTAAAGATTGAGTCATCTCTTCAACTAAAGTTTTATAATAAATAGATGTCAAGCCATCCGTACCTGGCGCTTTACCTAATTTTAATTGCTTAATAACCGTCACAATCTCCTCATTGGTAATTGGACCATTAATTTCTTGCTTCTGATCTTCTGTCAATTTAGGAAAGTTAGCCTCACTTAAATATTTATTTATATCTGAAATTTGTACATTAGTAGTCTTATATAATTTTTGATAGTAGTACAGTCCCACAAGAAGCATTCCCCCACTATACAAACCAAGTTCAACCATCACACATCCTCCCCGGGGATCCGACCCCACCAGACAAACCGGTAAATTTTGCCCAACGTAAATAACCATTCCCCCTTTCCTCCCAGGGGCAGGAGACACAAAGTGTGAGCCCAAATGACCACTAACTAAATATCCTTGATCTTTAAGTAAAATATGAGTTTCTTGCAAACAAATGATATCATTGTTATGTTGTTTTAAGTAATGAAAGATTTTCCTTCCTCTCTGAGGGGAGTCAAGGCCGCCAACACTCCAGGTCAGGAACCCCGCCATCTCCCCCGACCAGGAGCCCGGAGAAGACCGCCCGAAGGTCCGCCATTGACGAACGCGCTGCAGAACTCCTGAGTCCCGCCCCTCCCACCGGCAACGAAGCACCTTCATAAGTAGATTCTTTAACTTCCTTCTTCTGTTGTTCCTTCCCCCCACGCCCATGTGCTGCACGGGTCACCCCCCGCTCCTCAACCTCTGCTCGACGCCGCCACTCCATCCGCGACCCCCCAGCAGGAACCAGACCCAGCCCTCCAGACCGCTGCTCCACCTCCCCGCCACCCAAAGACCCCTGAATCATAGGTAAAGATGAGCCTGCTCCCAGGACCGCACCATAAAACTTCCTAGCCCTGACAACCGTGCCAAGCCTATAACGCATCCCCGCATGGCCCAAAACAACACCCATAGGAATCTCCCATCTGAATGACATCGATCCCGCTCCGAGTTCATCAGCTAAAAAAGCAAAGTCTTTCCCGTTTCTCAAAACTCTGGATGGAATTTCCCTTAAGATAATGACATCTTGGGCGGCAATCTGAAATCTCTCATTGCAACAAGCTTGTAAGATTTCACTACGCAGAGACCTCTTAGAAAAATAGATCACCACATCTCTTGGCAAATTCCCCTGCCTCGCAATCCAAGAACCGACTCTGCAGACCTTCTCCACCTCTCTGCGCAATCCATCTCCATCCACATTCAAAACAAGAGCTAGATCACCAAGCACCATCTGTGTCAGGTCTCGATTCAAATCTTCCCCCAAGCCCCTGATTCCCAAGGCATACTCCACCTCCCTGCACCGGGACACGAGAACATCCTCTCGTGAAGTCTCCACCCCTCCTTCCACATCCTGAAATTCATCTTCAATAAAATCAACTTTATCAGCGACCTCCTCCACTCCGGAATCCAACCCCATGACCACTGAAGCCAGGCCCGACAAAGCTATCACCACGTCCTGTCTCAAAATGGTGGTATTATCTTCTAACAGCTGCTTCATCTCCTCTCCACCCTCAGTTCTATTCTGCCCAAGGAGGTCTCTCATCTCCTCCTTAGTTTCAGATTTAATCTGTTTAATCTGTTCAAGAAGGTCCCCCATTTCCTCTCTGCCCCCAGACCTACCCCATTCAAGAAGCCGCCCCATCCCATCTCCAATTTGGGATACAGCATTTCCCATTATATCTTCAATCTCCTGTGCAGACGAATCCGGCAGAGGAGGAGAGGGTGGAAGCAATACTGATGGTGTAGGTCCAAGTTGTTGTTGTCTTACTTTCACTTTCCGTACCAGCAAAAAAGAAACAAAAAAATCAGAGTCAACTAAAAAGAAAAATTTAAAATAAAATACTAAACTAAAAAGAAATCCTTTAAACTGCTCTGTCCGCTTTAAAAATTACTCACCAGGACACTTTAAGCGCAGAGCTGGTAGCGGCGTTTCCTTTTGTCTCCGAAGAGGCAAAAACAGCTGGGAGGCGGAGAAAGCAGGAACTCCGAGGGAACACTCTTTCTGTCCCCTCAAAAGAAAAATCCAGAGGGGGCTAAGAGGTTCTACCTCTATTCTTGCAATCTCTGCCCCTTCCCTTCGCCCGGGAAGGGGATTCCGAGCTGCGGGCCAGCTGATTTTCACTGCACACCGCGGATCTAACGCCGTCCCAGGAGGACGGCTACAAGGTAGCCGCCATCAACGTCGCTCCCCGGCGGAAGCTCCTGTTGATGGAAGTTTTGATCTGATACCTATTGGCCTGAGATAGTTTCATTAACTTAACACAACTTGTTTCTCTGTCAAGTTACATAGAATTGTAGTAGCACGGGGTTTTTTTATGTGTGTATTCACATACCATATTGGATGGATGGATGGATGTAGATTTAAACACACAGATCAGATAGCTAAATCATATACAAACACATCCTAGCTATTTATACACACACATACACACTTAGATAAATAGACATAACATATACATGTACCCATATATACCAGGTATTTATACATACACAAACTGGATAGATAGTACATATACATACCAACATGCACACACACAACTTTCCTTCCTTCTTCCTTCCTTCCCTCCCTATTGATCCATTGGATGTGATAGCAAATGTATTTACTGCATCTAGTTTAATTTTCAAAAAGGGTAGAACACTCCTAATTAATCTACATCTATTAAAGTTATTTAAGCTTTGGTCAGTCATTATTAAATCTGATTAATTATGTGCCACCAAATCATTTTCAACTTCTAGGGATCACAATGCAGAGCTAAGGGATGTTGGAGGGGGGTACCTGGGACAGTGCATTCTCTCAGAAACTGCATGCTGGTGGGAATAAGACAACCAAATATCGGTTTTTTTTCCTTAGAAGGGTGCCAGATCTGAATTGATTGTTAGCAGAGATCTTTAATACAACGTTTAAAATTCTGTAGTTGCAGCCACCTCAAAATTCAGTTATATCCAATGATTCCAGAATCCTACTGAAATTCACATGATGGGAAGTCACAACCTATCCATCAGTACTTGGGTGTTCTATCAAAATTCTGTCTATTTACAGAACACAAAATATTAAAATCAAAGTAAAACATTAATGTTTAGCATTTTGTGAGTTCAATCAGCAGTTATATGCAGGATTTACTGAACTTATTAGAAAGATAACTGACTTAATCATTGTGGTTATCCACCTTTAACTGAACTACTGTTTATTGCATTAGCTCAATTGTATGGATTCCTACTGTGTTAAAGCATAAATTAACTCTGCTGCATGTGGTTGCAAATTGCACATGAATGACAAGCTTGACAACCACATTTTACTCAGGCTGTTGGACCATTCATATTCTTCCTGCAGGCCAGTGTCTCAACCTTGGGAATTTCAAGATGCATGGATCTCAGCTCCCAGAACTGCTCAGCCAGCATGCATTTTGGGGAATTTGTAAGGTGACCAACCGTCCTCCTTTAGGGAGGACAGTCCTCCTTTTGTGAGTTCTGTCCTCCCTCAAAAAGTGTCCTCCTTCATGTCCTCCTTTTCGATATTTGAAGACTAATCTGCAGGAGTTTTTTTTCCCTCATAGAACGCCCAGAATGGCGTTCCAGCACCTTTTTTTGATGGTTTCTTTTTTCAACTTTTGCATGAGCTGTGCTACTCCCACTATTGGCTTTCGAAAGCCAATAGGAATTGCTGCTGAGCACGCCAAAACACCCAGCTGGCAAACTTTGCACATGCAAGTTGTCTGTATTATTGTTGCAATGAATAAAATGTTTCTTTTATTTACAATATTTTTTTCTTCAATTTATTTGTGTCCTCCTTTTCATTGTAAAAAAGTTGGTCACCTTAGAATTTGGGGAATTGAAGTCCATGCATTTTACGTTGCCAAGGGTGAGAAACATTGCTGTAGGCAAATGACAGACTGCATACAAATCAGATACTGGCCTTAGATCAGGGCCGGAGATACGGTATGTAGCCCTTCAGAGGTTGTTGGAAAGCATGATCCTTCAATTTAGCCAGGCCACTGAGACTGCTGGGGTAGAGTTTAGCATAGAGAAGGCTACACACAACCCACCTTCCTTGCACATGTTATTGCAACTTTAATGCAGCTCTCATCATTTCCATCCATAATAATGGAGGGTGGATACCTAGTGGGAGTTGTTTTCTAATAAGGCCGTTTAGGGGAAGACTGCATAGTTTTCCTGCCCAGTCTTTACTTAGGTATCTGCTTCTGCATCTTTAAATGGAACAAACCACTGGCAACCATCTATAAACGTCTCGCAATTACTACAAGATATATTAAGGCTTCCAAACTAACCATAAGGGAGCTTTTACCATAATAAATTTTAGGGTTGCTTCGCCACAGAAAACAGCCACCGTCCTTTAGAATCAGGCGCGTAACAGAGACAACCCCGCGAAAACTCAAGATTCCCACGGCCTGCGCACCGCATCTCGCCCGGAATAGCCTCCGATAGGCTGCGAGCTCTTTTTTTTTTTTGCCTTAAGGCTGAGTCGTTCTGATTGGATGGAATGCCGTCGTTCGGGCCGCCGGAGAAAAGGAGTCTCCTTGCCGCGCGCAGCCAAGAGAGTCGCGCTTGTTAAGTGCAGCTTGGAGTTCCTCTTCTTTCCTGAGATTGGCGCCGGTGGAGAAGGTAGGAATGGAGCGTGGAGGAGGAGCTAGAGCTCCAGCCCACGCCACTCCATCTGCGGCGCTGGGAAGAGCTACTCGGCGTCAGTCTCCTACGGTACTGCCCCTCGCTCGGAGCACGATGTCTGGGATCGTGCAGTGAAACCGGAGCTTTTGCGCTCCTATCCGGCAGGGTAAGTTCAGGGGCCACCGATCCGACCTCCGAGTTGTTTTTTTCCCCGACTTCCTTCCCGCGATTGTTTCGCGTAGCATCAATGCTTGTAAGCTAGTTTCAGAAGAGATCTGCCCCCCTCTCCGATCCCTAAAGCTCTGCGCTTCCAGAGCGTTGGCTCAGCCAGTTTTCATCTGGCAACCCCTTTGCTTTCTGCAGTGGGTACTGCCTGTGTCTAGCTCCGCTGCCCAAGAAGCCTCTGGGTTTAGAGCTTTTCCACAATCTTCATTTTTGATTTGCTTTTACCTCCAGTCACAGTTTTGGCTTGTGGGCTTGTGCAACCTCCTGTGATTTCTTCCAGGCATTTGTCTTCCACTTGGATTTGTTATTTACCAATGTACTAAGCAGTTAAGTCTCCTGGTCCTCCTTTCCCACGTCAGCCCAGAAAGGGCTGATAATGACTGCCTACATATAGGCAGTACATTAGAAAGGGTGGAGAGGCCCACCCTTTCTAATGTACTTAAGGATGAATGAATGAATTTCTCTGGTTGCCAAAAATTGGTTGTGGGGTGATAGGATGTAGAGTTTCTTCCCTCCTCCCCTATCCAAAGTTATATTTTCAGATGAGTGGAAGCAAGCAATTTATAAGCATTTTTTTTATAGGGAAATGCATGATATACATCATATGCTCTGCTGCCCACTTCTTTCACTGTAGGTTTTCAAATTGCTGTTATTTCAAACCATTACTTCATGGGAAAAGCTCATCTACCTCACACTTGAAGTAGGAGCTCTCCAAAGTTTATTAGACTGGATTCTCCAAGGAAACACCAGAATTGCTAGCTCTACTTCCTTTCTCTGGTGAGCTGTAATGCATATATAGATTGATAGAAGCTGCTATGGATTCTTCTGCTTGTAATATTGGCCTTTTAGGATATCCTCTCATATTCCAGTTAATCCATTGCCCCTTGCTTTTGTAAGAAGTTAAGATGAATCTTGTACTTTGCTGGGGCTTGTGCAGTTGTGGTCTCACCTTTCTATTCTAGTCTATCATTTCCTTAGATGTGAATGAGAAGTGAGAGCCTCTTGTTGAACTGCCTCCCTTGATTTTGTCTCAGTTAATTGAGTGTTTATAAATGCTCCTGTTTGACCTAAAGAAGCTCAGAGAACAAAGCTGGAAGAACTTTGAATCTACAGAGGCATGAAACAATTGGCATTCTGTCCATTGGCAGAATATGGAGGATAATATGTGCAAGTGAGTCCCAAACACACAAAACTTTCTTGCTGGGCATCCCCCCCCCCACCGCCTTTTTGCAGGAAAATGTTAAGAAACAGTGTATAATCTGAAGGTGGTTACTTAAAAGATTTAATCAAGAAACATTTTGATGTGCATACAGAAGGCAAAGGTTAGTTCTTAAATTATAGATTGTGGGTTTGATTTAAAATAATAGGTGATTCCAAGGATAGGCTGCCCCATGGAGGCCTACAGCACTGAGCTGGTGAGAAGAATATGACTGGCAAAAATGTCCCAAATTAATTGTTACAGGTATGACATACTAGGTCAGAATCTCCAAATTAGAAGATTTAGACTTTAATGTTTTAAGGCAAGTCCCTCACATAGAAATAACTGACAGAGAACATGAATCTTAAGGGTAATTACCAGAAACATATGTGAAATAAATCTATTTTTTGCCCATGAATTACTACTCACTTCTTAAAAATGATTTGAAGATAACCTAGGAACTTTGCTGAAACTGTATGAGTCTTGATCTGATCAGGACAAATCTATATGCACTGGCTGGGTGGCTTGTAGCTTAGAACAATGTATGAAGTAACCATTGGGATTTATTCAGTAAACCATGGCTAAGCACACCAAACTATAATATTTGTGAAGTAGTTGTTGGGGAAAACAACAAATATGTTTGACAGCATATTTCTCTTTCAATGTTTAATGTCCTTATCTCTAGATTGTATTAAGGCACATGGACCTAGTAACGGACAGTACATTCTAGTTACCAGTATTGCCTAAAATACTTGAAGATCCATTGCTAAGGAACCACAATAATATAATGGATTGAAGTATCTAAAAGTACTTCCATATTGGTTCTAAGAGATCAGATTGCCCAATACAGATCAGTATGTATTATCCAACTTGCCTCCAGATTGTTTTGGGTTATAATTTCCAAAATTTATATCTAACATAGCCAAAGGAAATGACTGAAATTGTAATGTAACATATCTGAAGATGCTACATTGAAGAATGTTTCCTTATGTATCTATTCCAGAGATGTCAAACTCGCAACGTCATGTGACGTGTTGCGATGTGTCGTGACTTTTTTTCCATTGCCAGCAATGGGGTGGGTGCGGTTTCGCCATGATGCATCGGCCCATGGGCCGGCAGTTTGATCTATACTGAAACTTAATAATATGTAGATGGCTTTCTCTTACATATGAATCAGAAAATGCCCACCATTGAATAGTGACTCCTTTCTTGAAGCCATTATTCTATATTTGCATTCTTAAGTTTTGCTTGGGATAAATAATTGTAAAATTTAGATTATCAGAATTGGCGATAAGAGTCCAGATGAAGAGTAGTAGTGCATCTGTTTTCATTGAAGAACTTATCTCCAGGTAGAACTGGAGAAGAATCCTTTCTGGACAAAGGTCAGCAAAGCTTGGGTCGTTTTTTAAGATGACCTGCATGTCTCTCTCAAATTATTGAGATCTTAGGCAAACAATCTCACATATCACATGTTTTTACCAATTTTTACAATCCTCAAGGACTTTTTGGCTATCTTGTAATCACCATTTGTAGTCTTCTGATCTGGAGAGATTAGTGGGGTAGGTAGGACTGATATTCCTGAATTAGACTGGATGGACATTTCATTTTAGCAGTTTAGACATTTCATTTTAGCAGTGACTTTTATAGTAGTAGTACTTTCCTAGTTTCTGCTACAGATGTGATGTCTGATATATCCTGACATTTTGCTTTGCTTGTTTTGTACTTAATGATGACTTTTTCTGGTTCCACTTTTCACCTCTGTTCTACAGAGATAAATATAATGAATAAAGAACTGTTTGATTTTCCATGTTTACAAATATTGTATGGATTTTTAGATTTTTGCTGCATATAATCTGGTTCCTAAAGTATTTTATTTCCTCCTACATAACTTCACCTTTTACGTGTCACCTATACTTTTCAGTATGGTATCATCCATTTTTTTTCACTCACCTTTATTCTTTACTTTCTGCAAGGGTACTCAGTAAAATATTAGATAAAACAGGATCCATGTCAGATTCCACTAGATACCATAATTTGCCCTCTCCACTTATCCACAACTTTCAGAGTTTATTATTGATAAGGATTATCATACCTATCAAACAAATGATTCATTTAATTCTGCATTCTGTCTATCAATACTAGATATAGTAAAGCCTTGGAAAAGGCACAATTGAGATATATAATAACATCTCAGTTTTAGTATTCCCTGACATTTATTGCAGCATTTCTGAATATGTTTACCTACAATTCTTTTCAAGTAATTTATTGACGTGTTATAAGTAATGAATTCCATAAACACAGTTCATGAAAATTGGTGACATAATATTCTACCATTTTATGATGGAGAATCACTAATATTCTGTGATATGATTCCTATAAACTAAATGGTTGCAGGGGCCTCCAAGTTCACTGTGTCTGCTAAGTTATCAAAAGGTTGCCCACCTTGATCTAAATATATACAATAATTTTATCTGGATGGTTAAATGAGGTTTTAATGATTTCTCCTACTGTCTGAAGCAGGTAAGATGTCATCCTCAGTCATGTTTTCCTTTCTTTTTCTATCGCTTTAATCTGTTTCCTAACTGTAACTAAACGTTCAGAAACCAACCCACAAGCTTGGAGAAATCCTACACCCGAGCTATAGATATTCGCCACTATTGCAAACCATTTCCTAACTGCCTGTTTTCTGATTACAGTATTTGGGAAGGCAGAGAAGAGGTTTATCTGCAGAGAAAAATCAACAGATGGGAGGAGCTGGATGTACATAATCTTTCCTCCCACTCTCCTTTGCCTTTCTCTTCCCACTCAGAAGAGTTTGTTGCTATCTAGCTGAAGGCTCTCTTCAAGGGAGAGTTGATTGCTGGATGCTGGTTAACCACTCCTCTTATTACATCATTCTCCCTTACTCATATCTCTCTCTTACCTCTTGGTTGGCATTAGCATAAGTTTGATGTGATGCTGGAAAGTTCTACCTGAAGCGACAAAGTAGCTTGTGTGCTTGGTTCTTCTGTACTTGGTTTGAGCTAAGCAATTTGCTTGTGGTTTGTAAGCCAGTCTTTACAATTTTGAGAATTGTATGAGCTCAGCCAGATGTGCTTTCTTCAGTAAATCATGTTTTAAAAAATTCTCAGTAATGACACATGAACCCACGCTATGAGACTGATCACACCATTGGTTTAATGAAGGAGAACTTGACTTAGAAAGAGGATAGTGCTCCTTGTTTAAATGCACCTGTTGTCTTAGATTCTAGACAGGGTTGTCTGTTGTCAGTCAGCAGTGTGCTTGTGAGTGTCAGTTGTTTGTGTACAGATAGTTACAGATGTGCTTTCCTTTTTGGGAGAGTAGCATATCACCATTTGCTTGGATGACGTTCGATAAAACAGTTCTTAGACTGAAAAAAAAAATGGAATTACTCTGTGTGTGGGTGGATGAGAGAACAGCTGCAAGCCAGCCACTGTTACAAGAAGAGAATTCAGATTATGATTTTACAGTCCTGGCCAAAAAGAACCAACTCTAAAGCACTGGGTAACTTTATCTTGAACATATTGAACTGATAGTTCTTTGGGAATTTTAGTTTGAATGTATCCACATAATGATTTTACAAGCTCTTTTTCTCTGGCACTTTTTTCCTTTAAAATTATAGTCTTACAGTGTTCTATTCCCCCCCCCCTTTTAAATGCATCTTTCTGGGTTGTTAGAAAAATAGTGTTTATATTTAGTTAATTGATTGAATATTAGTTTTA